CATATATAATATATATATTTAGAGAGGGTACTTTTAGAGAGTTTGTACTTTTAAGTTTCGGATTTCATTGTGGTTCATGATGGAACTGTAGCATGTAAAAATGATATTTTATATTTATGAAATTTCTGCCTAGCAAGACTGCTGATCTTTCATGTCTAAGGAACGCTCTGCTATTTATTACTCCCTCCCCCTTCAGCAAAACGAAATCTTTGAAGTAAAAGGATGCCTCCATTTCCCAATTTCTGTTTCTATCTCGTCTAAACCGCCCCCCCCCCTTTGTCCTTTTCCCTTTCGACCTTTTGTCTAGTTTGACCTCTGACCCCTTATGGGCATTAGTTATCCTCTCTTTGGGGTTGCTTCACAACATATGACCAGCTGGTGCTGATGGATGCTCTATTTATAACATTTTATTATGGTATGACCCTGACACAGTGGCTGATCCGTTTTCTATTTATACTAAACGTTATTTGGTTGTTTATTGTTTCTTCAAATGAATGGCATCATTTATGAAATGGTATTTAAGTTGACTTCTTCACTATTGCTGTTAGAAGATGTGAGTTTTGAATCGAAAGTTATTTTATCGAATTGCTTCGTCTGACAACTCGGATGCTGTACCCCGTGCAGCCCAGGTTGGCCTTGACAGTCAAGTTTGAGGCAGCCATCCTCCTACTTTATGTAAATTGTGTCGATGTAGGAGGAAAATAATTACTATCAAGCATTACAATCTGTCATCATCTACACACTTCGAGATGTGCTTCTTCAGGGGACAGAGCGCTTATGGGAATGCCCCTTGTGCAGTGATGTCGGTCCTTCCCACAAGTAAACAAGTATTACAATCTTCATAGAATGTCATGATGAAAACAACACTGTTGATATTTCTTTAAAAGGGCGGTCTTACAATTAATTCCTGTACTAGATTCCTGTACTAGTGGGCTTTGTGAGCGATGTACTGTGAGCGATGTACTGTGAGCGATGTACACTTTGCAGACATGTTCCTGGAATGATGAAGTATTTCTCTCTACAATGAACAAGGGAACACTGCAAAGCGGTCTTGGTTTATTGTTGCTGCTGATGGCTGTGGCTGCGGTTTGAAGCTGGGGTATCTTAAAGAGGGAAATTGCTGGAAGGATAAAATCTAGGATTCATTTCACCCAATTATTTTCGACCATTCTCTCTTGCCTGGCAGCCTGGACTGTAGTTTCTGAAGTCAGATGCATGCTCTCAGGCTTACCCTTTTCTACTGTCACCTTCAAACAAAGGGCAGGTACTCAGAGAATTTTTCCCCAAACTCCTAATTACTTGTAGGTGGCTGGAGGGTGGCTGTCTGTCTCATTTTTGTCCTAGCACGAAATGACCATCATTGTGTCGATGTGCTTCTCTTTACCCAACAAACTTATAATTATTACTTATTTTTGTGTTGTATGTTATGGACAGGTTTGCATGTTTAGTTTCATTCAGAATTGAACCGATACGCCTTAACACTGCTCTTGTTTAGCAAAATAAATACTAGATCTAAGTGCAAGGAGAATGGCATGTTTAGTAGTGAAGACCTCATCAAGCCCCCTACAACAATGTCCACCTCTCTTATTTATAAGATTATAGTTGTATTATAAAAAAAAGATGCCATGATTTGATCTTGTGAGTGAATATTTATTGCACCAGTGGTCAGTTGTTGTGAAGTGACCTGCATTTGGTCATGTCAAGTGCTCTATTTCCTCCTCCTCACCTCTTTATCACCTCCTCCCCTTCCTTCTTCCTTCCCTCTAACCCTCCCTGCACTCTCTTGATAAGAACCCTGTTTTGAGACTAAATTGTGTCGATGCAGATGTACAACATTTACAAACTTTCTCAAGTGTGGGAGGTCTTATCAAAGATAGGGGTCAGGGGACTGCAGGCCAGTTCAGTTCTTATTGTATATTTACACTCTGATGGGTGGGTGGGTGGGTGCTCTATATTTGTGATCAAAGAATACCATCCCCCACCCCCACCTCTCCTCCTTCTTCCCTTCTTAAGGTACTTTCGCCCCCACCCCCACTCCCCCTTTCATACCAGTATGCCATATATTGAACCTTCCTTCATTTTGAGTTATTTTATATATTTATTGTTTGTCAGGGTAGTATTTTAAATTGTTATCTTTTAATTAAGGCACTCAATGAGTTGTAGTGGAGAAGTGTTAGATTTCCCAGCAGTTTATTGGTTTGTAACTTATTGTGAGAGACACTTTGAAACTTTGAAGAGACTTTTCTTATCCAAAGGTAAAATTGTGGCATGAGTTGGTACTTTGAAGTTGTTCAGTGTCGGAGAACCGGCGTCTATGATGGTGGGTGGTGTATCGGTTAGGCTGTTTGCACATGCAAGCAGGAAATGTGAGGTTGTACTCCTATGCGGAGAAGTTTGTTTTATCGTGTACGTATGTCATGTATGACTGCTGGGATCCTGTAGCCCACACAACCTGGGTTGACCCTGACAGGCAAAGTTGTAGCAGCCTGTCTCATGTTGTTGTTGTTGTTGTTATCGATCCAGCAACAGCTGGGCTCTCGCCCTTCTGTCCAATGCCATGTAGTGATAAGTGCAGGTCTGCTGCAGTTGCTGTAATGTTCCATAGAGTCTCATAGATAATTATTATCTAAATTGTGTCAAATGAGGGAGTTAGTTCAAACATTTTACCACAATCATTTTTCAGTCAGTTCGTGTCAGATGTAATAA